GGCGGCTCGTTTATACGAGGGTGGCGACCGCGCGTCACCCACCGTCGGAGCGTGTACCGACCGACGAAAAACAAATCGCGCGCCACGAACCCGAACCAACCACCAACCAACGCGTGTACACGTTCATCCCCGAGCAGGGCCCGACTTTCGTTCTGCTCGCGTCGCGCCTTTTCCCCTCCCGATCCCGATCTCGACCAACACTCGCAGCGGAGTCGAGCGGAGCGGAGTGTGCGAGCGCGCGCGCGCGCGGCTCGCGTTGCACGTGAGAAAGAGCCGAGCGGAAGCAGGACGAGGTATCGTCGCGCAAGAAAGGCGGACAGAGAGCGAGGGAAACGAGAAAAGGAGCACGGGAACGGGAGTCAAGGAACTAGAAATGAATTCCATTTGTGCGATTGAGAGAGAACGAGCCGGGAACGGCGAAGCCGAGGGAGAACGAGAGGACAGGATAAAAAGGGCTGGCACGACGTTGGTCGCGAGAGGAACACGCCGTCCAGAGGGTTGTCTTGCCTCTCTCGCGGTAGGCCTCGTGGTAGCCGGAGCAGGACGGAGGTACGCGAGTGTCCGAGGGTGAGAGAGGAGGAGAAACGGAGAGCGGGATAGGAAAGAGGATGCCGGGTACAGCAAACGGAACTCGGGGCGTAGAAGGAGACACGGATAGATTGTAAATAAGAGAGGGAACGGCGGTGGTGAACGCGCGGGATTATTCCGAATCGAGGAGCTCTCGACGAGTTTCTACCGGCTCGCATTGTCGGTACGCTAGAGGCCACGTTGTGGTACGAGGTGTTGCACGGCTACGAGGTGTTACGGGGATATATTCCGAGCGTACCGCGCACGTGTACGCACGCGTACGCACACGTACACCTGTGCAACGGCGCGTACCTGATCGGTAAACCATTGACTGGAACCACCGCTCTCGTGGCTATCGTGGCGCTCGATTTAAGAGCCTCGCGGCCCCGCTCCTCGTCCGTATCGGCGAAATTCGGCTTCGTTTTCGACGTGGACCGATAAACGCGACGGTACTTTGGCGAACAACGTTTAGCACCGGTCGCTGTGAACGGAATTGGATGTTCGGTCGTGGTAATTCAGCCGGCGATTAAATTTGCATTGCTAATGGAACTTTACGACTGCGGAGATTAAGAGATTAGAAGCGATCTAACGTCGAATCTGTGTTCCGACGATTAAAACGCACGGGGACCGACGGAATACGCGTCGCTGATGCGATACCTTGCTCCGTTTACCCAATACTCGACGTTTCCTGGAACGATCGTTGGACTGTACCGGATCGTGCGAGGATCGCTGGAAACCGAATTCCATCGAGCACGACGCGTAGCGCCAGCGATCCATCCTCTCGTCCGCGAGCGACTGGCCGAGACTTTGGCGGGATAAATCACGTCGGACGTATGTATGGATCCGTGTAGGGTTCGCGATTGTACTCGCCGCGACGCGATGCGACGCGACGCGAGTGGACGCGAGTGGACGCGGCGTATCGACAACTGGCCGAGAGGACGCGAAAGGGCGAGAATCAGTAATGAGTACGTTACGGGTTTCTTAGCTGACTCGTATCGCGGCAAAAACTCGCTCTCGATTCGATCCACGAAGCACGGAGACGAACGCACCAAGAGGAGCGGAAAGAGGGAAGAAAGGTGGAGGCAAGGAAAACGAGCCAAGAGGGAAGAGACGACGGAGGCAGAGGATGAGGAGGAGGATGGGAAGGAAGGAGGTGGATGAAGAGGAGGAGGAGGAGGAGGGGGAGGAGG